TGCTTTGCACATCGTTGTGAGAAAGGCAGCTAATATCTTTCTGTTCCATTTAACTTAGTTTGTGTCTCCTCTGTTCAAACTAACTGAAACTCAACTGTTTTGCCAACTGTAGTTCAACATTTTCAAACTGATCCACTATTTTAATTACTTAAACAGATAAATTTAAACTTTTCAGTAGTCATCAAGCTCTCCTTTAATGTGGGAGCTGAGAGGATTCATTTATGAAGCCGCGACTACCATTGTGTCGGTGGTGAAGACGGTGAATGTTGAAGGTGGCAGATGGGGTACCAATCGAGCAGATTGCTTCACCATGAATGACATTGTACTTCTTGAGTGTTGTACAAGCTGCATTCATCCACGCAACTGGAGAGGATTCCATCACATCCCTGACTTGTGCAGTGTAGATGACGGATAGTAGGTGCAGAGACCTTTTTGTTAGTCATTCATGGGATGTGGGTGTTGTTACCTTGGTCAGTATTTATTGCCCAGACCTAATTGCCAGTGAGTTGCTTGCTAGGCCATTTCAGAGTCATTGCTGTGGATTTAGAATCACATCAGACCAGGTAAGGATGAGAGATTTCCTGTCCCCTTTTACAACAATCAACGATACTACATGGCTTTAATTACAGACAACATGATTACATGGTCGTTAATTACAGACTTTTTTTTTGTTGAATTCAAAGCTCCCTATCTGCCATATGGGTGTTATGATGGGGAATGGCCAAACCCCTCTGATAATTAAACTAAAACACAAGCCCCAATCTGTTATGACAGGAGTAGGGGTTCCCCTCTAATAATTACTCTCTAAACACCCAGAGAAGCTCACCTTTCCCCTCGTAATCTATTAAAAGAATGGTTAAAAGAAAGAAAATCCCTGATCTCCACTTTACAAGTAACAAGAAACAATTTATTTATTTAACCCAACAATGAACAAATTAACAAAATTACTAACAAACCAACAATTAGACTACTAACAACTCCCTAACTAGTCTAAATTCTACTGGAATGCTGTTTAAATAAAGGCAAGTCCCATTAATATAAACCCAATTAATAAGAAGTAATAAATTATAATTTAATCTCTCCAAGTTCACACAGACTGTCTTCTGGAATATTCTGTTGTGTCCGCTCTCATCACAAACGTATTTCTCCGTTAATTCTGCTGTCAGGAATGTTTTATTGCTATAATTTCTTCAATGAGGACTTTGAGCTAAAATACTGTGGTACCTTGATTAATTAGATGGGCTTTCTCTGAGAGCCGAATGGTGCTAACTCTAGCAGGTGGCAGTTGGCTCTCTCTGATTTTCCAAATGCCTTTGTCTTATATACCCATAATGACATAATCAAATTTTTATAATATGATTGGTTTCAAGTTGTCAACACCATCAGTTTTTAAATTCAATTGACTTTGAAACGCTGAGTTTGGTTCTAAATTAATTGGCTAGATTCAAACTTGTTGATGCTTTGCCTGCCACTTGTAAGGCTTTTTCTTTGATACACTTATTTCACTTTTTGAGGCTCTCTGTACTGGCAACTTCAGCTGCTGCTCACAGACATATATATTTTTTTAAATTTCTAAGTACAGACAAAGCACAAATCTGTTAAAGGAACTACACATTTTAACTTGGAGATTGTAAGAACTGCTGATGCTGGGGTCCGAGATAACACAGTGTGGAGCTGGAGGAACACAGCAGATCAGGCAGCATCAGAGGAGCAGGAAAGCTGACATTTCGGGCCGGGACCCTTCTTCAGAAATGGGAGAGGGGTAAGGGAGCTCTGAAATAAATAGAGAGAGGTGTGGTGGGGCTGGGGAAGGTAGGTGGGATGGGGATAGGTGAGTGCAGGTAGGCAATGGTGAGGATTGGTCAGTGAGGAGGGAGGAGTGGATAGGTGAGAGAGAAGACAGGCAGTGCTCTACAAAGCGGTCTCCAAGCCTCCACTTGGTCTCACAATGTACAGGAGGCCACATCGGGAGCAGCGGATGCAGTAAACCACATTAGTGGATGTGCAGGTGAACATCTGTCTGATGTGGAAGGTTTTTTTGGTTCCTTAGATGGAGGTGTTGGGGAGAGATGTAGGGGCAGGTGTAGCACTTCCTGTGGTTGCAGGGAAAGGTGCCGGGGATGGTGCGGCTAGTGGGGAATGTGGAGCGGACGAGGGAGTCGTGGAGAGAGCGGTCCCTACAGAAGGCAGATAGGGATGAGGAGGGAAATATATCTTTGGTTGTGGGGTCAGATTGCCGATGGCGGAAGTGGCGGAGAATGATACATTTTTTAGCTTCTTGCCTTCCACCACACAATTACTCTACCCAACTTCACACATGGGGTTCAAACCCTTGGCCCCAGAACATTGTCATGGGTATCTAGATTACTAGTCTAGTGACAGTACCACAATGCCACCACCTCACTGCAAGTTAGAAAGTGAGTTACTCATTGCAGAATTCTCTAATTTGCTCATGTAGCTACAATATTCTTATGATTGATTCATTTCAGATTCTGCTCAATAGTAATTCATAAAACAGCGACAGTGGGATTCAAAGGTAATAGTGCCATTGAATATGAGATGGTAGAATGCCAATTAAGATTTTGCACTAACGGAGACTTGTAAACTCATGGAATATGAATGCATTAATGAGACCCTTCAGACCACCATTTCAATATTTATTGAATTTTATTGTAAAAGGGCTAGTGTTTGCATTAAAATAGTGGAGATATAAATGCACTGAACATGAAACCACTAATGCCTCCAACAGTAATTTCTAAGTATATAATTAGCTCCATCTGTTTCTGATAAGTTAGCTAACTTCATGATATCAAAGTACACATCACAAAATGAAAGTTACTTTAAGAGTATGTATAACCATGAAGTACTATTTCTATATGAGGCTGAAACTGGAACTGAGGCTAATGCTGAAATGGACATGGTGCAGTTAAATTCAGAACTTTGCAACACAGGGAATAGTGGATGTTTCAATACATTTAAATTAAAAATTGACAGCATGCTGTCGGTCATGAAAAAGCGTACAGAGACAAGAAATCTTGAAAACAGGGAGTTTTATCTTTATGTCTGATATACTTCTGTAATTTGTTATTTTTTAACAGTAATTAGTAATTTGAGATGGCAACTTACTTTTAGCTACATGTTTATTTACAATTCTAACAGTAAATATTGGACTAGCACTGCTTGAAATACCAGACAGGACCAAGACTTTCATTTTATTTATGGAATACCAAAACAAAATATTTTTGATGTGGGGCCAGGCTTGGTGAATGCACAACACCAGGTTTGTTTTCACGAATCTGAAATTAAGTTATGAATCATCTAGAGTACTGGGTCAGTTTTTGTTCTGTTGCTGTGTTAATTACTGAGAAGTATAAGTCAGGCAAGCTCATACAGGAACCTCAAGTATTGTTCTCAAGCAAATCGATAATCCCACAAAGGCAATCCATAAATATACTGAATTTCTCTTAGATTTGGAATAATAATTAGATTAATTAAAATCAATAAATATTCTTATTTGAAGAGAAAAAAAAGTTTAAAACTTTATTTTAAATAAGCCAAGTTGGCCTAAACGGGGGTATCTGATGTGGATCATATTCATGGGTTCTGTTCTGTACTTTCAGTTCCTGAAAGACTTGGCCACATTGAGTCAGTGAGAACATACATTCAATACACGAATCAATCAATCCCACAAACTGATTGGCCAAAGCAAAAGACTTTGGATGTTGGAAATCTAAACAGAGTAAATATTTCAGGTCTGTGACCTTCAAAAGTAAATTTTATTTCTATCCCCATGGATGTTGCCAGACCTGCTGTGCAATTCCAGCATTTTCTGTGTTTTGTTATTATAGTTGAATAGCAATTCTTTTATTGATTTCAATTTTTAAAAATGACTATCTCTCTAAAATAACCAGAATGCAGAGGTCATATAAGATTGGCTGCAAAATGAAGGTGAGATTATGTTTTCATCGGGCAAAATAAGTATGATTATTAAACACAGCAATAAAAAAATCTGTTGCTCACAAAATTATATTCTGATTGCTAAAGTATCTGAGGTTGCTAAAGGGACTGTCTATTCTACTGAAGTGGCACATCATCCCCTTGAGTAGTTGCAAGATGTTTTCTCTAGTGGTCTCAAGGATTTAGATTCTGCGTGCTGCTTTCCAGCTTCAATCATAACATCACTAGAGAGAGGTTTCATGAAAATAGAATTCTAAACAAAATGTTTACTCATTCAGTACATCTAACTGGCAGTTACAGAGGTTAAATATGTAAAAGAAATCAATATTTGCCTCAGTAACATTTACAATGATGAAAGCAATTCAGTTCAGCAACGTTCATATTCATTTAAAGCAGATAAAATTGAAATAAGGGATGGCTACTGAAATATGCTAAATATACTAAAACCAGAAATGTATTTCTGTTATCAAAAAAATCACAGGTTTAAACCTTAAAATATTTCAATATACACTCAGTAAACTTCACACTGACAGATAATCCCAATTATGAATGGTCATCCGGTTCACGTATTCGACTTTGGCAAGATATGCTCACTCAGTATACTCAAAAATGGATGAAGACAGAAAGCAGGAAACTACAGGCCAGTTAACTTAATACCTCTCACACAGAGTGATGAATCTGTGGAACTCATTGCTGCAGAAGATTGTGGAAGCCAAGTCATTGAGTGTATTTAAGACAGAGATAGTTAGGTTCTTGATTAATAAAGGGATCAATGGTTACAGGGAGAAGGCAAGAGAATGAGGTTGAAAAACATATCTGACATGTTCGAATGGCAGAGCAGACTCAATGGGCTGAATGGCCTAATTCTGCTCTTATATCTTATGATCTTATATACATATTATACTAAACACTGCCCCAGAGGTAGGTAGGCATTTATTGTAAACCAATATAAATGTTACACAGATAATAACAAGTAGATATGACAGATGCAGAACAATTTGTAGGCCTTTTCCATCACATATATTAAAAAAAAGTCTGCATACCTGTTGGATCTCTTCAGGTAAAGGGTGGACAGGGACATGGCGTTCCATGCTGGTTAGGTTAAGTTGAAGATCTAAGTTGTCCAACATAACCATAAAACTGGTGGTTTTCCTGAGACAATATAGAAGAAAAACTTGAAATTATACAGTGCTGTCCTTGACCTCTGGTCATTACAAAGTGCTTAGACAAAATGAAGTACTTTTTTGAATTGCTGTAATGTAGAAAACATTGACAAACAATTTCTGCACAACTAGATCCTACAAATTGCAATCAAATAAGGATCATTTAATCTGCTTTTTTTAAGTGATGCTAATTGAGGAATAAATATTGGTCAGGAATGCTGCAGCTAATTCTGCTACATTTCTTTGAAGTCGCACCATCAGATCACTTATGAGCTCCTAAGAAACCAAACAAAGTCTTAGATTTAATATCTCAAAAGACAACAGCTCTTGCAGAGAGATAGTAGGAATTGCTAATGCTGGAGAATCTGAGATAACAAGGTGTAGAGCTGGATAAACACAGCAGGCCAGGCAGCATCAGAGGAGCAGGAAAGCTGACATTTTCTGAAGAAGGGTCCAGACCCAAAACATCAGCTTTCCTGCTCCTCTGATGCTGGCCTGCTGTGTTCATCCAGCTCTACACCTTGTTATCTCAGATCCTGCAGAGAACTCCCTTTGTACTTCCTTGATGTTTGTGTGCAAATGTCTAAAGTGTGACTTGAAACTAGAATCTTCTGTTGAAGAGATAAGAAGATTGATAACAATTCAGCCATAGTCGATATGTATACATAATAATTAAAATATGCAAATTATAAAATAAATTGCAACTTAAAGGAAGAAATGAGTGTGACCTTAAGCTTGACTACAACAATGCTTGAGAAATGGAGGCAAAGTAATGTTCAATGACTATGCAGTTGTGGTTAATACTTTATAAAATTCCTCTATAGTGCAGGGGTGAATCACATTGTAAATCACCAGAATCATTTCACATCCCTGTGAAACATTCTAGCCTCAGATCAAATTCTTGCAAAAAAGTCAGTCAGCAAAATCGAAGATCGCTGTTTAATTCAGATTTCAACAATTTACAGCCACAAATTTTTAATTCCTCTCTGGCCACAGGGGATGTGACAAAAGACTGGAGGATGGCTAATGTGGTTCTATGTTTTAAGAGGGGTGGTAGATATGAAGCAGGAAATTACAGACCAATGAGTCTCACGCTAATGGTAGGGAAACTAAAGGAGAAAATTCTGAAGGAGTGAATTAATACTCACTTCGAAAAGCATTGGTCAATTAGGGGTAGTTAGCATGGCTTTGTCAAAAATTTGTTAATTTTTTTTGAAAATGTGATCAAGTGTGTGGATGAGGAAAGTTCAATTGATGTAGATAATATGGATTTTAGCAACGCTTTTATCAAGGTCCTACATGGGAGACTGATTGAGAAATTTAAGGCACTTGGGATAAGGGAAACTTGGCAAGATGAATCAGAAACAGGCTTAGTAATAGGGCTTAAAGGGTAATGGTAGGAGGCCAGTGTCTAGCAGTGTACCACAACATCAGTACTGGGATCTTCATTTTATGTTATATACGTAAATGATATAGAAGAAAACGTGGAGGGAATGCTAAGCAAATTTGCAGATGACACCTAGATTGGTAGTGTGGTTAATAGTGAAGATGATGATTGTAGGTTACAAGAAGATACAAATGGGTTAGTCAAATGGGCAGACGGTATTTAACCATGATAAATGCAAGGCGATGCACTTTGGAAGAAGGAACAAAATGCAGTATTTAATGAATGGCAGGACACTGGGTAGCTTAGAGCTACAGAGAGATCTTGGGGTAATTATTCACAGATCCCTGAAGTCGGCAAAGCATGTGATTAGGATAATTAAGGCATATCGGACACTTGCTTTCATCAGTCGCAGTATTGAGTAATGCTGGAGTTGCACAGAATATCAGTTAGGCCACAACTGGAATTCTGTGTGTGGTTCTAGTCACCTCACTACAGGAAAGATGTACTAGATGGGATGCACTAGAAGGGATACAAAGGAGGTTCACCAGGATTTTGCCTGGGATGGAGAAATTAAGTTATAAGCAGAGACTAGACAATCTTTGATTGTGTTCTTTAGAACAGAGAAAACTGAGGGGTGACATGACTGATGTGTATAAGATTATGAGGAATATGGGCAAGGTGAAGACAGCAGCTGTTCCCCTCGGTTGAGGGGCCAATCACTAGAGGGCATAGTTTTAGGGTAAGGGGCAGGAGATTCAGAGAAGATGTGGGAAAAAAAGCTTTTTCACTCAGCGGGCAGTGGGAAGGTAGTGGAGGTTGGGAAACTTACAAACTTTTAAAAATATTTGGATGAGTACTTCAAATATCATAACATTCAAGGATAGGAGACTGTGCAGAAAATTGGGATTAATGCATTCCAGTGGTAGCTTTGTGGGTGCAGAAGGACCTTTTCAACGAATCAACGACTCTGTAAGACAGAAAACTCATCAGTTGACGATTCTTTCAATGATATGGCTAGATCACAGCACTTGCTAATCTACTTAAATAACAGCTTAAACATCAAGTTTTGTTTTGTTTTACAAATCCATGATCCACTTATTAAAATAGAATGTGAAAATGTGTTTGTAGAAATACCTGAGTTTACAGCTTATTAATAAATTATTAACTGAAAATGTATTGGCAAATTTTATTTATTGCAAATACTTATCTTGGAATTTCCTAAAATATGTGAATGAATACATTTCTGCCACAAATATAAGCAACAAAGATGAACATAAAATGTAAAAATACCATTTTTTTGGAAGAGAAAGTGACATTATTAGCTTCATATAAACAAGAAATAATTCAGAAAATTAGTGAGGGTATTTTGCAGTAAATTGCTGCAGGAATATAACATTGAAGGCTGGAGCAGTTCAGCCAGATACAAGTAGATCTGAGAGATTTTTTGAAAAATCAGCATCATTGACACAAAATGCGAGATCATCACAAGAATCATAAAAATTGCATTTATGTGGTGCCTTTCATAACTAATGTGTTTAATAGACAATTAAATATTTTTCCAAGTGTAGTCATTGTTGCAGGGAACATAGCAGCCAATTTATGTAAAGCAAATTCCCACAATTAGCAATACCAGATTGATTTTGTGTTGTTGACAGCAAGATTAAATGTTGGCTAGGACACTGGGAACAATTCCCTCCTCTTCATCTACACCTAAATGATTGGACTGGACTTCAGCTTAATACTTCAGCCGAAAGACACCACTTCTGTTTGTGCAATATTCCCTCAGTCTCAGCCTAGATCGTTATGCTGAAGCCCTGGAGTGAGACTTGAATCCATGGACCTTCTAACTCAGAGGCAAGAGTGCTATCAACTGAGCCAAGCAGACTGTCATTTTTGTTTAAATCACAACTCTTGTAAACTAGAGTACATTTTGTCAGCAAGTGACTAGCAGATGTTATGCTAATCATGTCAGTACCTTTGTTGTATGCATTGTTATTATTGTCAAACCATATGATACTTGATAACAGGAAATTATATTACAGTTTAGTACTCTACTACAACGTACATCAAATTTACATGTAAGGCTAACAATTTTCAGTTATTGCACTCCAGGGCACAAAAACTTAAAGATTGTTACAGTGTGCAATGTATCTGAATAATAATTAATGTAATAGAACAATCAAGTAAAAAAATGTGTTAAGCCAATTTCAAGAGAGTGGAAACAGGCAAACCGTCGCGACATACTACCAATAACTTATTGCAGACTCGGAAATCACTTCTTATGAAGGGAATTTCAATCTGTACTTTCAACCGTACCATAACTACTGAAAAGCTGTAGATGTACAGATTCTTCACTCTCCCCATTTTCCCGCAATGAGATATCTGGGCTACAGTCGTCTGTTATCGAATGTAAATTATAATACTGCATATATCTTTAAAAAGAATAAATAACCGACGGGCCTCGCCAGCTGCTTTTTAAAGGCCTGCAGCTTGGTTCTCAATAACAGGACCTGCCTGGAACTTCTTGGGAAAGTTTCTCAACTGAAGGGCGCAGCCTCCAGCCAGAGGCCTCTCTGAACCTAGTGCATCTCAGGGTAAAAAAAAATCTCAGCTCAAACAAACACACCGAAAAATAGGGATGCGGTGGATTTCCACCTTTACAGCTTGGATCCAACATTCAGTTGTTTGCAATGCTCCCGGAAAGTATTCATCCTCTCGGCCCAGGCTGCGCTTGGGGTAACCATGGAAACCACGCGCCGGGACGTAATGACGTAACGTGTTGGCGATTGCCTGTCAATCATCTGTGTCCTGAGAGAGTCTCTCTTCCATGTTCTGCTCTGAAGTTTGACTAAGCAGCATTGTGTGGCAACATACCACACTTAGAAAAGCTGATGATCAATACATTTGACAATCCAGGGAACAATATGCAGCCAAAACAACGTTCCTAATAAAGGTCAAGACCACTGTGTGCAGGGAATGAAATAAACTTTGGATTGGAATTCAAAAAGGTACTTCCATTTATGTAGCAACTTTCACACCGTTACGGCATTCCAAACTGTATTACCCGCACCAAAGTACTTCTGAAGTTTCAAAGCCAAGTTTGGATTGCAGCAAAATATGGTTTTGGGCTTCTTCTTCCCGATTGTCATGGATGTTCGAACTGAACAACTAAGACAGGAAGTACCATGGTCACTAGTGTTGGCAAGTATGTGAGCTATGTGGTTGGGATGATGACAATGTAACATATCTGGAAAACTGGTGAAAAACATTCAGTAATGTATATGAAGAGTAGATCAAAGACCCAAAATATGGACTTTCAGTTTAAGACTGCGAAAAGCGAAGGGCTAAAGGTTGTTGGTGAAGACTTGAAGAAAGTGAGTAGCTTCAAGTACTTGGGGTCAGCGTTTACAGGAGATATATAGAAATGGAATTATGCAATAGATTTGCTGTGGTTGGAGGAATTGGAAGAAGTGCATTGAATGTTACATGTTTAAAAAATATGACTGAAGCTGAAAGGAAGAATCTACAAGACAGTCTGAGAGGCAACACAGTGTGGAGCTGGAGGAACACAGCAGGCCAGGCAGCATCATAGGAGCAGGAAAGTTGATGTTTCGGGTCAGGACCCTTCTTCAGAAATGGTGATGGGGAAGGGAGCTGGGAAATAAGGAGAGAGAGAAGGGGTGGGGCTGGGGAAGGTAGGTGGGATGGTGATAGGTGAATGCAGGTAGGGAGTGGTGGGGATTAGTCAGTGGGATGGGTGGGGCAGATAGGTAGGAGAGAAGATGGACAGGTTGTGTCAGGTCAAGGAGATGGGGATGAGAGGGATGGTTGGACATGGGATGATGCCAGGGTTGGGGAGATTTTAAAACTGGTGAATTCCATGTTTAGGCCATTGGGCTGTAGGCTTCCGAGGTAGAATATGAGGTGTTGCTCTTCCAGTTTGCAGGTGGTGTCATTGTGACACTGGAGGAAGCCCAGGATGGACATGTCACCCAGGGAGTGGGAGGGGGAGTTACAATGTTTGGCAACCGGAAGGTGTTGTCGTTTGTCACGTACAGAACACAGATGCTCTATGAAATGGTCTCTGAGTCTATACTTGGTCTCACACTGGAAGAGCAACACCTCATATTCCTCCTCAAGAGCCGAGAGTCCGATGGTGTAAACATGGAATTCACCAGTTTTAAAATCTCCCTACACCCAACCTCATCCCATGTCCAAACTTCCCTCTTATCCCCACCTCCTTGACCTGACACAACCTGTTCATCTTCTCTCCCACCTATCTGCCCCACCCATTCCACTGACCAATCCCCATCACTCCCTACCTGCACTCACCTATCACCATCCCACCTACCTTCCCCACCCCCACCCCTTTTCTCTCTCTTTATTTCCCAGCTCCCTTCCCTCTCCCCATTTCTGAAGAAGGGTTCTGACCCGAAACATCAACTTTCCTGCTTCTCTGATGCTGCCTGGCCTGCTATGTTCCTCCAGCTCCAGATGTGTTGTCTCTGACTCCAGCATCGGTAGTTCTTGTTATCTCACAGTTTGAGAGGCAACCTGTTAGTGCAGAAACATCAAAAGAGGAGCCATGACTGGATAGTACTGAGATGCTGAGATGGATGTGTGGAGGGAGAAAAAGTCCAAGATAAGGGTGGTCTGTATGATGAACCAGGTGGTCAGTAAAGATTGTAATAGCATCAAAAATGTATCTGAGAAGAAATTTAAATAACATGCCCATCTGTTATGGAGAGGAGCGCATGCGGTGTAATGAATAATGGAGATAGGGAGTAACTCACCTATGCTACTTGGAGCTATGGGATCCAGTAACTGAATATATGCTATTAGTGCATCAAAGTAAGTATCTTTGGAAACAGCCTTAAAAGAAGAAAAGAGATTTGATGCATTAGCTACCAGATTAAAAACTGAAGTAAATTTACAAGATTATCTTGGACTCTTCAAGATTTAAAGATCAATCTTGAGATTGCCACAAGCAACTAAATGGAACAAAAAATCATTTTCTTAGAACATTTTCAGTTATTAGTATGACATTTTCAGAATTCTGAAAATAAAGTGTTTGAATAGGGAGTTGGGGTTGGGTGATCACGTGATCATAGCCCCAGGAAAGTACTCAACTAAAGGTGGCAACCAAAACTCGGATAGAGTGGAGGGGTTTGTAATGTTGCTGTCTCTCTCTCTCAGACACACACATGCTGATTGTTCCACTTTAATGGCCACTGCCTCCAACTCAAGCATACCCTCACCTCAAAAATAAATGCAAATAGCTTTAGATATCTTAACACTAAGATTGAGACTGTCTGTTTGGTTAGTTGTTTCCCTTGCCCAGATAATAAACCAAACTTTCTCCAAGATTTCACCCGAACTGTCTGTATTTATGAACAGCCCTCATCAAAGTCACCAATAACATCCCATGTGAGCATGATCATTAGAGTTAGAATTAGCTTTATTGTCACATGTACTCGCATGAGTACAGCGAAAAGTTTACCAATCACGATTCATGGTGCCATCTTAGGGACTATCGGTACCTAAGTACAGATTCCTGAGTATGAATTCTTTGGAAAAAAAATTAGAAAAATAAAGCAATTACAGACGTTCATGTCATCTTAGGGACAAAAATACAAAATCATATGAATAAATTTGAAAAATAAAAAAATCAAAAGTTCAGAATAACAGTCCTTCCAACCCTGTCCATGCTGACACCTAGCCTCACCTTGAGGCTCTCAAGGCCAGAGTTCTGGGGACCACTCTGGATTCACCTCGAGGCCGGGAGCCCAGACTGAGGCTAGCAGTCGGCACTGAGACTGGGAGTCCGCACTGAGGCTTGGACCCCACACTGGCTTCGGTTTGATGCTCTCTGGGCAGGGAGTCCACGCTGAGGCCAGGAGTCCGCAATGACTTTACTCAAGGCTCGAGGACAGGAGGTAAGAAGAAACAAGGAGGACAAACACGAATAGGCAAAAAAGAAGAAAAGAAAGAAAAGAAATAATCGGAGCAGACAAGCTTTTGTGACAGTTGACTACACCATATTTGTCCAGCACATCTCCATCATTCTGCTGAGTAGATATCCCATTACTATCTATACTGTGACAGTCAAAAAATAACTTAAAATAATCTCATTTCCAACATCATTTACCTTTGGATTTACACAAGACTCAATCCTTAGCTTTCTTCTATATTTCACTACTTAAATTTAATATATAAATTCAATTGGTTACTGTTGCCTCCTTTAAATGAATTTTTTATGTCTTATGAGTGATTCTTATCAACTCTTCTGTCATCAACACCTTCTCATGGTATTGTACATTAAATCACATGTTTTTGCTTTCCCTCCTGCTTCACTTCAAACACAATCTTTTTATTTATAGAGCACTTTAGATTGCTTTAGTCTTTCGATTGTAATTTAGTCTTCTCATGTGATTTGAAGCTGACTCTTCTGATCACCTTGCCTTTATTCATCTTTCATGTCCATGGAAATAGAATACTGTGTTTCTCTCAGAGATCAAAAAGTCCCTTTGAATTGTCTAACATCTAATGAGCACTGCTGTTCTGTCTCCCCTGAATTATATGATGCTAATGGACTTTCAGTTTAATTTAGCTTAGTCAAGTCAGTTGGTTTTCTGTCCTTGCAGTCTTGTTTGACAATTGTAAGGCTAGTTACTTTTCTATTATAATAATAGTTTCAGAGGTTATTGACCTAACTTATTAAAATGAAATTGTTCAAATGTGTTTCTTGTCATTACATGAGTTAGAAGTTGCATCTTTGGAAATACGTTGCTGCATGGCTTGCTCTCTCTCTGTGTATAGAATAAGCAGAAAGTGAACTAGGCAACTATGCAAAACAAAAATGTTAAGCATGAATAATTTACCATCGATAGACTGTTCACGAATGTTATGATACATTTGAAAACTGCAAAGACTGAATTCTATCTTCCCCTTATTACCCACTCCCAGTTATTAACTGACAATTTCAGGGTCATGTGGAAATAATCTCCATAAGAAAATACCAGCGTTGATCCCATCAATGTATAAGCATGACACATTACCACTAGGAATTGGACTGGAAAATGTTGTATGATCTTTTATGTACAGACAGTGCCAAGAACTAAAGACGACCTTTTCATCTTTAATTGTTTGTGGTTATTCCCCATCTGAAACTGTGTTGTAACCTTTCTTAAATTCCATGCACTATGTTTTCCCTATCTACCAAATCTGTTAGCTCATTAGTTAATGTTTTGGGTGGAATTTTCCTAGTTCCTGTCCAGTGTGGGCCACGGAAAATCTGTTCGTAAAATATGGCGAGAACAGAAAGATGAGATTCACAATATTGAGAAAAAATGTCCAATTTTCTATCCAAGGTTTGTACAGCAAGATGAGAATCTCATTCAGTGAGCAGCAGGAGTCCAACGTGCATGAATTAACATCTCATTATTACCTACCCTCATCTCATGTGTATGCAGTTTGCTACTTTCGCAGGCAATGGAGAGAATCTAGATGACAACAATTCCCCCGATTAGTAAGTCTGAGCAAGTATATGGTGGCTGCAACTCACAGGTGCCTTCTCCAGGTTTCCACTTTGACCAACACTTCAATGCATGCTGCATGGGCAGTGACTGCCTGTCCCTCCATCCACACAAGTTGGTATCAGTACATCAATACTCATTACATCATTACAGCACATTTGGGACTCACTTCTAACACAGTTCAACACTTCAATACTGCACTTTAA